GGCGTCAGGTCCGGGCGCGGGAGAAACGTAGTGCGGGCATGGAAGACGTAGCGCTGGAAGGGGAAACGTAGCGCGGGTGTCAGGTCCTGCCTTGGTAGGAGAAATGTAGTGCGGGCGTCAGACCTGCCTAGGGAATTTGAGGGGCGCTGGCAAGAGAAACGTAGCGCTGGCACCCAGGAGAAACGTAGCGCAGGCGCCAAGAACATTGACAGGAGAAACGTAGCGCGGGCGCCCAGGAGAAACATAGCGCGGGCGCCCAGAGCATGGACAGGAGAAACATAGCGCGGGCGCCCAGCACATGGACAGGAGAAACGTAGCGCAGGCGCCCAGCACATTGAGAAGAGAAACGTAGCACAGGCGCCCAGAACATGGACAGGAGCAACTTAGCATGGGCGCCCAGAACATGGACAGGAGAAACGTAGCACGTGCGCCCAGCACATTGACAGGAGAAACTTAGCATGGGCGCCCACGGGAAACATAGCGCAGGCGCCCAGAACATTGAGAGGAGAAACGTAGCGCGGGGACCCAGGGGAAACGTAGCGCGTGCGCCCAGGGGAAACGTAGCGCAGGCGCCCAGAACAGGAGAAACGTAGCGCCAGAGATTTCGGCGCCCGGCGCCCCGCGCTACAACTCACCCTGCGCCGGGTCGAGGGAGGCCAGCCAATTGGAGCACAGCCCGGTCCGGGGTTTGGCCAGGCGCGTCTTGTAGCGCACGACGGCCACCAGGATCTGGATGCGGCCGGGCAGCGCCTGGCGGGAAAAGGGAGTTATAGTACGGGAATTGTAGTACGGGGAAACTAGAACTCCCGCGCTAGGACTCACCTGCAGGGAGGAGGCCAGGGAGAAGGACCGGGCGCGGGTGCGAGGGATGAGGTCCAAGAGGAGGTGGCAGGGCAGGGCAGACGCCGTCCGGGGGAAGTCGCTCAGGACCTGGAGAGAAAAGGGAGTTGTAGCGCAGGCGGGCGCCGGAGGGTTGGGGAAGGAAGTGTTGCTGAATGGGAAGCGGGCGCTGGGAACTGTAGCACTGGGAAGCCGGGGCTGGGAACTGTGGGGTTGGGAACTATAGCGCTGGGAACTGTGGCGCTCGAAACCAGGCGCTGGGAAGTGTGGGGTTGGGAACTATAGCGCTGGGAACCGCAGCACTGGGAACCATGGCACTGGAAACCAGGCGCTGGGAACCATGGCACTGTGGCGCTCAAAACCAGGCGCTGGGAAGTGTAGCACCCAAAACCAGGCGCTGGGAACCATGGCACTTGAAGCCAGAGGCTGGGAACTAGGCGCTGGGAACTGTAGTGCTGGAAACCAGGCGCTGGGAACTGTGGCACTGGGAACTGTAGTGCTGGGAACTGTAGTGCTGGAAACCAGGCGCTGGGAACTGTGGCACTGGGAACTGTAGTTCTGGGAACTGTAGTGCTGGAAACCAGGCGCTGGGAACTGTGGCACCCAAAACCAGGTGCTGGGAACCGTGGCACTTGAAACCAGAGACTGGGAACTAGGCGCTGGGAACCGTAGTGCTGGGAACTGTGGCACTGGGAACCTGGTGCTGGGAACTAGGCGCTGGGAACTGTGGCACTGGGAACTGTAGTGCTGGAAACCAGGTGCTGGGAAGTGTAGCACCCAAACCAGGCGCTGGGAACAGTAGCACCCAAAACCAGACCCTGGGAACCGTAGCACTGGGCACCCGCCCCTGGCCCCCTGTGTGCTACAATTCCCGCAACCCCACCCACCTCAAGCGTCGTCCGTCACAGCCGCTGGCACCCCATGTGCTACAACTCCCAGATCCCACCCACCTCCAGCGTCCGCTGGCGCTGGGAACCGTAGCACCGGGAACTGTAGCGCCCAAAACCAGGCCCTGGAAACCATGCCCTGGGAACCTGGCACCCCGCACCCGGCGCGCTACAATTCCCGCAAACTCACCCACCTCCAGCGTCGTCCGGCGCGGCCGCTGGCACTGGGAACTGTAGCGCTGGGAACTGTAGCGCCCAAATCCAGACCCTGGGAACTGTAGCGTCGGGAACTGTAGCGCCCCAAACTAGACCCTGGGAACTGTAGCGCCGGGAACTGTAGCGCCCAAATCCAGACCCTGGGAACTGTAGCGCCCAAAACCAGACCCTGGGAACCGTAGCACTGGGCACCCGCCCCTGGCACCCCATGTGCTAAAACTCCCGGATCTCACCCACCTCCAGCATCGTCCGGCACACCCGGTGGCATTGGGAACCGTAGCGCCGGGAACTGTAGCACCCAATACCAGACCCTGGGAATTGTAGCACTGGGAACCTGGCACCCCACACCCGGCGCGCTACGACTCCCAGATCCCACCCACCTCCAGCGTCGTCCAGCGGCATTGGGAACCGTAGCGCCCCAAACCAGACCCTGGGAACTGTAGCGCCGGGAACTGTAGCGCCCAATACCAAACCCTGGGAACCATAGCGCGGGAACTGTAGCGCCCAATACCAAACCCTGGGAACATAGCGCCGGGAACTGTAGCGCCCAATACCAAACCCTGGGAACCATAGCGCCGGGAACTGTAGTGCCCAAATCCAGACCCTGAAAACCAAGCCCTGGGAACCTGGCACCCCGCACCCGGCGCGCTACAACTCCGGGATCTCACCCACCTCCAGCGCCATCCGGCGGCATTGGGAACCATAGCGCCCCAAACCAGACCCTGGGAACTGTAGCGCTGGGAACTGTAGCGCCCCAAAGCAGACCCTGGGAACTGTAGCACTGGGCGCCCGCCCCTGGCGCCCGGCGCGCTACAACTCCCAAATCTCACCCACCTCCAGCGTCGTGCGGCCGCACCCGGTGGCAGTAGGCGTAGAGTTCCTCCTGACCGGGCGCCGAGGCGAACTCGGCCAGCTTCTCCCGCT